CACGACAGATCTGATCCCGGGACCTTCGCGTTGGTGAGGCGCCACTTGTCAACACCACTTCGCCTTCAGTAGAAAGTAGGATATATTGATATCCTAAAAATTCTTTGGTCGAGGCTAATGTGAATGAATACAATAATAATCTTTAGATCATACAAATACATCAAAGGGAAGAGGAAATTGAAATAAATGATACACGATTACTCACGTTGTTAACGAATGCCATTATCTGACAGGCCAGTGATGAGGGCACACCCGTGGGAATATGGGAGGGCGCTACGATGTTCCCAAACTAGGACACCTGTGCTTTCTGCAGCTCTCAAGTACTTTCACGTTATTTCTTCATCTTCCTGTCCTTCCCTAGATGAACGTAGGCGATGACGTCAACAAGATGATCACGGACTTTTCGCACAGACTATGAGCTGGTGCAGATTATGGTTTCGCTTAATAAGGATCTCCGTTAACATTGAGCGAAAACTGGTCGTGGTTTATCGCGCATCATATCCAGTCATGTGTCTGACTTTGGGATTTTAAATGTTCTGCGCTATGACAGAATTCCTCGAAGTTATAGTTCCGCAATATAGTTTCTTAATTCCAGTGTGATTTTGATTAAGAAGTTAAAGAATTCCTATGATGTCCGAGTATTAGAAAGTTCACCACTTCACACAATATTATTGGATTTGCTGTTCGTATATTTCTGACACTGTGTAGGTTTTCTAAATATAATTTGATAAAGTTAGGAGCACTGCAGCAAAAAGTAATAATTGATCTTACATGCTGAAAACTAATTTGAAAATGCAGCAATTTTGACTGATGACTGCTCGACAAGATTCTTTTAAAATACGAGAAGAAGGTTGGGGTACAGATAATACTCATCTACTGCTTTAATATTTGGATTGATGTTGTTTTACGATATAGATGTGTTCTGTTTGTTTGTTATGCTTCTTTTTGTTGTTATCTCACACACAGGCAATCTGTGTAATAAACAAATACAAACCAAACACCACAAGTGACGACGGCCTCCACAAAATGTAAATGTTTTCTGCCAATGAAATGATTAGCCTGTTGCAGTTGTATTCTATCAGTTGTTACTGATTACAGCCATCATTTACCAAAAATCAAGTAGGTGTACACAAGTAGGGTGGGCACGCAGTTAGGATTTTTTTTGACGAAATGTATGTAAGGGCGGAGTGCTGCCGTGCCATATTACTGTCACGATAAATCGGAATTGCAGTGAGCAGCGGTGAGTGCTAAGCCAATCCAGGGTTGGGGAGTTGAGGTCAGTCAATAGACATGCGTGTAGGAGTTGGCTGCACCTATGAACTTGTTATAGAGGCGATTAGCTATCACTGCGAACATTACTAAGCAAGGCTGTCGTCAATTTGTGATATGGTCTGCACCTGACGCTATTCTGTAGTTTTGAAGGAGGTATATTTCACCAAACTAACATAACTATCGAACTTGTTGCGCTTTGCTCTGTACCCAGAGGTACAGGTTGGAGACCCGAATGGGGTGGAAGTTCTGTCCATAACCCAGCTTGTTCTTCTTCTTCCGCGTTAGTCGCGCGCAGTCGCAGGGTCCGCTGCTTTGTCAGTTGTCGCCTTTTTGCTCTTTCCAGAGCATCTTCTGCCGTGGCCATGACCTCGCTTAGGTCCTTCTCGATAACGCCTCTCCACCTTTTTTTTGAGGCTCCTCGTGGTTGTTCGCCTTGCACTTCAGAGTCCATCGCTGTTCTTACGGATGTTGTGGCATCCATGTAGCACATGTACTTACACATTCGCAAACGATCATTCCCACATACCTTGCTGGCAGGGCAGTCTGCGTGCCGCTCGGGCATCTTCTTTTCCTAAAACCCTTGTCCAAGGGCAGCCGTCGCCATTCTATAGGCATACCCTCTTGGCAGAGTGAAGCTGACCTTGAATCAGTTCATAAAGCTCAGCACTCTAGTAAAATAGCCAACAAATTGTAAATTGTAGCGGAAATAGCGGCCGAGAAATTATCGGTCAAATGGGATATCATTACTAACTGTGTGGACTGTTTCCTCTGGCTGAGCTCGGGTGATCTAATATTCAAGTTCGGCACTGGGAGGTCGCATAGCGTCGGCGAAAGCCTGTAGCGTGGGCGTATACCAAGGTTAGTCTAGCAACCATGCAACAGTGCCAATTCTGATAGAAGTCAATTTTCGTGTCCTGGCTCACCAGATAGGAAACAATGAAGAGGATGTTCATGAAAAACACAAGCTATGCACTTCCTCTACCTTAAATACTAGATGGAAATTTTTTTAAGGGTTTTGTAAAGATGCGGGCACGGTCTAGGAAAGCTGATACCAAGGTGGGAAACAATTATTTGATGGACATCTTGCACAGGCGAGTCTGGTACCTATGGGACACGACAGTGGTCACACCCGGGATCCTCAAGGAAATTTGAAGAAAGAAATAGCTATTTCTTGGGATACTTTTTCAGGTTCAAAATAAAATTTTTCCGCTGAGCATCACATTGCCACACGTTCTGGCTATAATGCTCTTTCGCAGTGGTAATTAGCTAATGCAGTTTGGGCAGCTTCTGGGATTTGAGGAGGAAAATCTGCGTCTTCTCCACCTCATATAGAATTTTAGAAGGTCCCTATGGCCACCCTCTGGCACGGGCTTACGCTTATCAACTGTGGAATGCGATTCAAGGAGAGAAATCTTCGTCAGGCTGTTCTTTGAAGTGCGCTATATGACAGCTTGACTAATAATGGTACTGAGTTATAAGTGTGTGCTTATAATCTCAACCGAATGGAACGTATGTGGAGATATGGATGGCTTAGGTAATTACGAGGACACTGGCTGATAACAAATTGAAAGGGGATGACGTTGCAGAGTGGATCAGACGAGAATAAAAGAGGCGTCATTGAGTCACTGGGGCAAGATAGCGGCAGCTCCAACGGATGGTCTTTTCTTAAAAGCAAATCCGGATTAAATGGGTAGTAAAAGTTTTCAACTAATGAATTGAGAGATGGAAAGGAAAAAGCAAAAAAATCCCAGCAATCCGCCCTAACTATAAACACTGCTCTTGACCAGCCGCAATCACGTTGGGATAGAGAAGGTGGTGAGTGGACGGTACATAACGCTATAGTTGCTCCAGTGCAGTGCATGGGAGCGCAAGGTCGCAGGGGGGGGGGTCGTATTGAGAATGCTGGGTGGAAGAGATCGAGCCATTTTGATGCAGTGGGATCATCACCGTCGGAAGACAAATATCAAGGATGAGTCGATGCCAGGCCAGAGGATTTCCAATGAAAATGATATTTCACCCACACAAAATTTTCGTGATTCTGAGGCGTCCGGTAATTCTTAGTTACTTCAGTGTTTTATCACCACACAAGTTAAAGAATCTGAATTTCGCACGCTTTCCAAGAGATATTTCATCTTTCAAGTAAGACCCCGAATCTGAAGGGATGTGAGGTACACGGCGCATCCGAGAAAGGGTCTAGTTGTTGCGCGCGCTTCAACTACGGCTCCTTGGACAAACAACCTCAATTCAGGAACAATCGAGAGAATTCTGAAAGTGTCCGTGCGCATTTACAGGGAGGTGTACACCATTCAACATTGCGTTAACGGACTCTTCAGGGTTAAATTTATAAACATGTAACCTTTAAAGTTGAGAAACGCTAATCAATCACTTTTCTTAGAAAGAGAAAAGCAGTGATTCCAAATCTGCTCTTACTTTAGTACATAATCGCCCTTAAAAGGATATACAGCCGTTGAAATAGTGCCAATGTAGCGAAAAAGTACCTTTCGGCGGTACTCGTGCAAAAATCCTCAACGTAGCCGTTTTTTTAATACTGGACGTTTGGAGCAGTTCTAGTAAGCATTTGATAGAGCAAATCTTCTAGTTTATGATGACGTATTAACTTTTCGGATTGGATGAGTTTGAACGGAGTTATGGCTTTGGAAAGCGTAAAAACTCGCACTCATCACGAATTTTCCTCGTTAATTTTGCAAAAATCCTCAACGTGGCCATTTTTTGAATACTGGACGTATGAAGCTGCTTTAGCAACCGTTTGATAGAGAAAATCTTCTAGTTTTGTATGCCATATTAACTTTTCGAATTTGACGAAAATGAAGCAAGTTATTGCTTCGGAAAGTGTAAAAACTCGTGCTCATCATGAATTTTCCTCGTTAATTGATCTAAATTTGTTATTTCTTATAACTTTTTGTAATTTCAATACTGATTAGAAAGAGCTCTTCACAAAACTCCCAAATCTGCTTTCAGATTGAAAATTCGTTAACTTTGAAGAAAGTTATAATCATTTGAATATTTGTTCAAATTTCAATAGTAAATAAGCTGCTCCACGGTCAACGCCAAAGTCCAGTCAACACACAGCTGGCGAAGGCGGTTACAAGGCTTCCTTTCAGCGAAAGGGGGACGTGTAAATTGAGAACCATAATCTGTGTAGTACTAGAATTTGGTAAGTCTTGTGGAGGAAATAAATAAAGAGATGTTGTCATAGTATGCCATTTTTAGTGGCTAGTTTGTCGTTTTCTGGTCTGTTTCTCGTTTGCTCGTTTGGTAGGACTCATCAATAATGATTGATTATTCTTTGACTTTTTCACTTTGTTGTACTTCTTAAACGAATTTTTTTTGTGGGCGGTGGGGTAGCAGGGCTTTTTTATGAGCAGTTTTGGGGGAGAATTAAACAAGCTTTTCAACCTTTTCATAGTTCGGCTTTTGAAGAGGGTTGTTTCATGGACTTCGGCCTCCGGCGGAGGGTGGTGGGGGGGGGGTCGTATTTCCAAATTTTCCTCAACGCCTCGCTTGACCCTGATACAAGTGAAAGGAGGAAGTTGATGTGAAAAAAGATGACTGTCATGGGGAATTGCACATCGCGACATGATATATCGATACTTAATGGATCAATGATTATTCATTTACAATCAAGTTGTCAAGCAAAGAAAATCTGTACTGTTACAATGGCAGAATTTCAAGAGGCTTGTGGATCACTCTGAGCATCTCCAGGTGATTTATTCTCGGAAACCTGCAGAAGGTCAATGAGAAAATACTCTCAGTGACCGTAAATATTTTGCAATTGCTTGTTGGCGAACCTTGAAAAGAGTTTGTTCTGCTGTTCTCTTTGTTGTTGAAGTCAATAGAGTCATATGGCCCATCACGTCGCCTGCTTCCGCGATGGCCATGACGTCTACCACCATGAGGGCCACGTTTTGGCATGAACTGCTGGAACGCGAACTTCAGCACACGGAACGCCTGTAATAGATGACATCAACCGCCTGGACAACTATGGAAGATTTGAAGAGGGAGAACTGGATAATTTAGGCAGCCATGGGTACCCTGAAACGGATCAGCGGAATTTGAATACACTTTTGTGCAAAACTCATGGACGAACGTAGGTTTTTCCATGACGTGTTACTGGCGAGTAACATAACTCTATGGAACCTAACCACACATAGAAAGAGCTGCTACAGTGCAGTACAGAAAGCAATTAACAGGAACCGTTAAACGGTCCACAAAGCTATCAACAAATTATTTTACTTCATCTATCTCGTCCTAAATTTTGCACACCAGTGTAGTTTGCAATCGTTCTTACCTGAGGATATGTGGCAGTCAGAGTGTGCCTTTTTTCTCCAATTTGCTTGGGAGTCAAATTTTCGTTTTCTACAATTTTGGAAAACTCTGCGAGCGCTGTAGGTAAGTAATCAATAAGCCTGGTGACATTCTTCTTGACTTCCTCCATGTGAGTCTTCATTTCAGTGTTGAATTCGGTTACTTTCTCCTGAAAAGTCACGATTTCATTTTCTGGCGAAATTGTGGCTTTATTTGCTAGCGAAATTAAAGGCAAGCCCGGGATAAGGTCGGTGGTGAGAATCTTCCATAATGAAGGTTGGAGGTGAGGGATGGTCCCGAAGAAGAAGAAAGCATGAGAACCTCTTGACTCATTCCAAACACAGCTTCCTCAACTCGCCTTTCACTGTCATTCCAGCATTGGGATGGAGGCGGCGTGTTCGACGCCCCAGTTTAATACGCGCACTGTCTGTGCCACAGGCGCCCCTGCCACTGGCCGACTGTGATCCGTCGCTCTTCTCGCTTGAAAGCGTAATCGTCTTTGGCGGCGAATGGTGTGATTGCGGTTCGAGTGGACCTCTAGCGCCTTTTGTCGCCTACGCTCCCCTTTCCGAGCTCGCGAATGAAGCACAGCATCACTCTTGTCCGCCGGTCTAGCACTCCCGATCGCGCATTGGTTTGGCATGTGACTGAGCACCTAATTCTGAACAAGCATTACTACCGACGTTGCCTTGAGGCGGCCACTGTACTTAACTCTCAAAGGTTGTTGTTTTTTAAGCCCACTTCGAACTGAATCTCTTTCTTTATGTTTGGCGCGACTGTCAAGGAGTCGTTGTGAATAATTTTGAGATTATCTCTCTCTCCGGCATCTACGGCTGACCCTCCAATAAATGGGTGGCGATGAGGCACCGTGGTGACGTCTACGCCGGCCGTGTCTCCGAGCAATACCACTGGCCACTACGGTAGCAAAGACGAACACAATAAGAGCTGTCTTCATTCTGAAAAATTAGAAGAGTTACAGTTCGTCCAAAGAATTCTGCAGGGTTCTTGAAGTCAACGATCGTGATGGCTGGGGGTTTTGATGACCTCACTGAACATCATTGGAGAAAAGGCGTTATCAGCCACGCCTTACGGGCTGAAGGAGTTTAGTCCACCAACCGTAGTCCATGCATTCATTCAGATCTCATCTCTTAAAGCCTATGATCGCTGCCTTCCAGGGAGGACTAAGTGAAGATAGGTGAGAGAAGCTTCTGCCTCATGAGAGCTGAAGCAGCCAGTTGGGTTGCAAATCAACGATTGCTGTGATGCTCCAGGATGTTCGGACTTTATTATATCCCTCTTTTTGGTGCTGATCTTTTGCACTTTTTGTGCTTCTCTTGCCGGAATCCATCTTGTTTGTACAAGACTTTGAATAGGCATCCCCACGTGATAATGAAGCCCGGTTGCATGAAAATAATATTTTATTATCATATGCACGCAGATTTCAACTATTTTTTTTTTTTTTTTTATTTTTTTTTTTTTTTTTTTGTTCTTTTTTTTTCTTGAACGCATTGGGAACTGAACCCGCCTAGCCCACGTTTTCTTCGCACAATCTTTCCCTCAAGTTTATTCCGTAGTGTACTCGACACTTACACTTATAATACGAGGCATACCTACAAAAACCTTGCCCACGTTGACGACAACGAATAGTGACGGTTTAGATAAGGAATTAGGTCTAGTGTAAAAATTGTCACTTTTGGACCATTGAAATGGAGGCACCATTTAGAGGCACAGGCAGGTCAAGGAAATCCTTCTTCAGCTCATTATATTGCTGGGACGCCAAACCACGCACTACTTGAAAACAGTCGCAGCAACACGCGCCTGTTCCTGTATTTTCAGTGATGGTCGACTGACCATTGCATACGAGCCCTCAGACCATATGTATCACTTGCTGTTTTTCAGCGTAAGGCACACGTGAGAAAAAAGAGAATTGCAACCATTCCAGTAGAAATGGAAGCATAACAAACACAGCAGATGCAGAATACTTAAAACCTCATTACAAAACGGAACATTCAGCGATAAAGGAAACAAACGAATTAAGCACCCTTATAAAAGAAAGTCAATCTCGAAAGACTACGAGGCTACATAACTTAATAGCTTCACAGCTATCTGCCTTCTAAACTGCTTTAGCGTACCGGGTAAGTCAACGTTCTTCGTTAACTTCTTATAGGTGCTTGCGGCTCTGAACGAAAAACTTCTGGCTTTGATGCTAGTCTTTGGACAAGTCAAGTGTATTTTGGCTTGTCTCCTCTAGTAGTACTTTAAGAAAGTCAAAAGCTGCTGTTGAGAAAGTGAGAGCTTTATTTCATCGGCTTTCCATGTGGTTTCCTGCCGTTTCTTCTTCGCTGGAGTTAGAATTCGCATTTCTACTGTCACATCGAATTCCACAGCACTCCAACTCGATCACGACCTTTGCCTTTGATCAAAGCGAGCCTACTCCGTATGAAAAAGGGGGACGTGTGTGTTCTGTCGTCAATGTGTTTAATCATTCTTATTCGGCAATGCTCCAAATGTGCTGGGGAGGGGTTGATTTTATGGGCATCAGTGTTGGGTAAGGCTGTACTGCAGAGTTCTCTGCACATAACAGTCATACACGGAGCTGAACTTTTTCACATTCAGCATATATGATGTGAAAAAACTGTGCCTACCAGTGGCTATCGGCTGTTAGCTCACCTGCTTCCTCTATAGCACATGGTCGTCGTGAAATTCCTCACGTCATTTTTGTTTGTATGATTCACTAATCAAAAAAGTGGACAGTTCCACTTACTCGTTACGAAACCCAACTTTCATTGCTTCAAAGAAAGTCCTTCACACCTCGCGGTCGAAAGGAATTCCAAAGCAGTCTTCGTTAACTTTAAAATTCTTTTACTCCCTTCAGCTGTAGTTTAAAGGACGAATTCACGCTGCAAAACCAACCCATTTCAAATATCATTGAACCATCAAGGGTATCATTCACCACTTTTTTTGGTACTACTAAACCGTTCAGCGAAAACGAAACATGGTTTTGTGTTCCCTACATGCGTCCCTACAATATGCAAGAAACCGTTTTGAAAAAGCGTGGCTTGCCCTGAAGGAGACCTCTCCTTGTAAGGCTGTAGGAGGTTGGTTTCCCTCC